AAAAAAAAAAAATTACTAAAAAAGAAATCATTGTTTATTAGAATTAAAATTAGAATTTTTCAGGAAAAATTGCTATTACTATCGAATAATCGTTCCCTGAACAAAGTAAATTTATTTATACCTGTAAATTCACCATTGCTAGTCGGTGTGTTCAACATGTTCTGCGGTTGAGCGATCGACTGAAGGTTCGCCAAGGTCGTAGACACCACTTGTCCGTTGCTGAGCGCCAAGTTCACCATTTGATTATTCGTGACGTGGCTGACAGGGATGGTGAGAATAGTTTGGGTGGCTATTCCTGTCCAGACGAGAAAAAACGAGAAAAACGAACGAACGTTAATCCCTGGATAAGCAAGCATCACGAGAGACAAGGACACCAAGAGCGTATAAAGACCGAGCGAACAACGGAGTTTGATAATTCTATCTTTAGCCTATCCCCGCGTATGAACGTGTCTCGAATCAATAGATACTTCATTTCCATTATGAACGTAGTCCACGCGTCGTTGATCCAGGAAGGGTAGTAAAGTTATCAGAGTCTCATAGAGGGATTATTAGGCAACCCATAGGGCAGGTAACCTCGCAGGCCAGCGTAGTTGGCAAACTATTATCGTCATCTTAATAGTGGGTACAGGTACTGGCACTGGACTAGGCTGCGAGAAGGACGCCTAATCATACTTAGAATAGTTTCGGGATTACCTCCAGCTCCGCTAATCTGATTACCCTGTACACGCGCTTAATATGATTACTGATCATGAGTACGTACCCGTGTTGGTACCTATAGCTAAGCTAAGCAAATCCCGTATTCCGAACAGCCATAAAAGTTTCGCGTTCTGAGGTAAGGTCAACTGACAATCCGATTAACGTTTAGTTCCGTCGTGATATTCGACGATAATATTCCGCCTGGTGTACGTTCTCTTTCTTTTTTTTTTCCTTTCTTTCTCTCTCTCTCTCTCTCTTTTTTCTTCTCTTTTTTTATTTCCTTCCGTGTTGTCCTCGCGACGCACATCCTGCCCTGTCTCCTTTTCTCTTCTTCTTCTTTTTCTTCTTTTTTTTTCTTTTTTTTCTTTTTCTGTTTTTTTTTTTTTTTTTCCTTTCAACTTTTTCCTCCTTTTTCCACGCCCGGTGAAAATGGACTTTCACGTGTCCGCGAAATCTCATTTCTGTTCCCGTTTAAACTATTACGTTTCCCAAGCTTCCTCCGGCCGACTATGCGAGTCAGATTAAGGCTGACGTACACCGCCGCTCGAAAACGTGTGTACATGGACAGTTGATTATTTTTCATTGGGATGTAAATTTTAATACGATCGCGGGATTAGAATTAAGCTTGAATAAGTTAGTAATTGTAATGCATCAAATATTAATTGAATCGTGTATTTAATTTCAATTGTTTCAACGAATAATTTCAACTCCGTTGAGATAAGTGATGCTTATCTATTTGTCATTAATTTTTTTCTTCTTTTTTTTTAGATAAATTCATCTCGACATCACTGGTCGATCAAAGTGTTAGAAATTTTTTCAAAAGTTTCAAAAAGGAAGGAGGAAAATTGAAATCGGATCAGATTCGGGAAAAAATTGATCGAAGAATAATCGAATCGTTCGTTCCGTTAAATCCATCCATCGTGTTTAATGCGTCAACGTACGTCGTCGAGGTTAACCGGTCGAATTTCGATTTATAATCAAGCTAAGATTTAGTCATCTGACCTGTGTCTTTTTCAAGATTCTTCAATTTCCGGACGAAAATAGAGTCGGCGCAACTGACAATCCATCGCGAGGGCTTATTCCTGAACGAGCATTCCAAAGTATCCAACGTTATTTGCGTTGCCAATGATCCGTATCCTCATGACCTACTCCTATCTTAAGTATTAAACATTCATTCTCACTATTGCTTTCAATCGTGTTCCGATTGTAAAATTATTCATCGTAGATTCAATTGGGATTCCAACCATCTGATATATATATATAAAATATACATATATACATATATATATCCGAGGCGAATTGGCGCAAAAGTTCAATACGTCGAATAAGTGTTTAAGCAGAGTTAATGCATATTTAATCGTACTCTATTTCCCGCATCGCTAAATCTCTGTCCTTAGCCGAAAAAAATGCCTCTCGAATAAGCTCGTCGGTGAATATTCTATATGTCACGTTAAATTTTTTATTATATCGCGTTGTGTAGCATAAGGACGAAAAATTGCTCTACTCGTGTACGTAGACAAATAGACAGGAATCGAAATAAATATAATATTAATCGGAAACAATAATTATAGAAAAATTTCTTTCTATATCCAGACAACGCTTCTCCCTCCAATAAATAAAATAATCATTTTAATTCATATTTGATTTTCGGATTTTTAAAAAGTTTTGCCATTTATAAAGTTTCGCAATTAATTAAATACGATCTACCGAATCGTAGGAGAGATTTTTTTTTTTCAGTTTCGCATAAATGCAATACGAAGTCAACATTCGGACATTATTAATTATTCACAAACGAGTCTTTAAAAAAATGCATCAAATCTTCCAACGAATCTTCGAAAAAATACCGTAATAATATACCACTACCCATTTTTCGACGACGCCCACCACGACGAATCTACAACACTTGCTTCTTTGCTCGTTCTCTGCACGTCTTATCGACGCCCAATCGAGCGTGTTACCATCAGTTACCATCGATTGTGCCGAAAAGCAGTGCAAACATTATTTGCCACCACGTAACTCGTCATCCTACCACGACCGGTCCATATCCACCAACTTCAATCCACTTAGTCGGACTCGCAAAGTTCTCCTTACCCCTCTTCTCGCCCACCATGCCTCACTTCCTTCTC